CTGCGCTCTCCGTGGAGCTTCTTCCCATCCGGAGACAGGTCTTTCTGCTGGGTACCGAAGCGGTGGTGCCTGAAATGCCAAACGTATCTCACGACAGGCAAAATGAACAAAGAAAATGGGCTCGACCAGTACAGTTCTAGCTCTTACTTGTCATTTTATTTTACTTCAAAGGTCACCTCTTCCATGAAAAGTTCTTGTAAATGTTATGGGAAGAAGCCGATTGGGACAACAAGCTTTTATTGTTTTCTTGCAAGTCATAGAATCATAGAATGCTTTGGGTTGGAAGGGACCTTTAGGTCATCCAGTCCAACCCCCCGGCCATGAGCAAGGCCATCTTCCACTAGACCAGGTGGCTCAGAGCCCCGTCCAACCTGGCCTTGAATGTTCCCAGGGCTGGGGCCTCCACTAGCTCTCTGGGCAACCTGGGCCAGGGTTTCACCACCCTCATCGTAAAAAATGTCTTCCTTACACCTAGTCTAAACCTACCCTCCCTTAGTTTAAAGCCATTACTCCTTCTCCTATCGCAACAAGCCCTACTGAAAATATTTTCCCCATCTTTCCTGTCGGCCCCTCCAGGCACTGGCAGCTGCTCTAAGGTCTCCCCGCAGCCTTCTCTTCTCCAGGCTGAACAGCCCCAGCTCTCCCAGCCTTTGCTCACAGGAGAGGTGCTCTAAACCGGACGAGAACCACAGTAAGCATAAAATAATCTACAGCCATCTGTGACTGAAGTTCAAGGCGTTGCTGCACAGAAATATAGAGCCTTGTCCCAGGAAACCTTCACCACTTCCCCCCATCCCTCCTGCACGTTTCCCCACTGCAAAAGCCACAGGCTGCAACACCGACTGTGTCTTAGCAGGGGCCCAATGTCCAGAGAAAACACAGGTCTTTAGGTACGTGCTGTCTTGACGAGATCTTCTGCAACCTCTCCTTGACTCACTCCACCACAACTACGAGAGAGGAAGTGAGGGATCAAGCTGGAGGCACTCACAGATCGCTGCCAGCCACTGGGTGTCAGTCAGATTTGTGGCTTCTCTCTGTCCGAACAAGCACTGAGCAGCATAATGCAGATGGAACACTTTTATTTTTAATATCCCACTTTAGCCTGTAGATCTTTGAAACCAGAGAAACAATTGGAAAGCAAAAACGGTATGAGGATGTTCACCCGTTCTCCAAGAAAAACGCTAATTCTGGGCTTTGCTTCTGGCCAGGACTGATCCTACCAGCCAGGGTCTTTGTGCAGAGCCACAATTATCCCTCATTTCCAGTATTACAGATGCTCACAGTATTAAAGGGGGGTAGAAATAACACCTGACAGATCTTCCCCTGGCAAAATGCGCTCTAACGCAGGAAGTATGGTCAGCTTAGAAAAGACGCATTGAATCTGAAGATAGTTCCAAGGGCAGGACCTGCCTTTGACTCGTCTTTGGTGTTAAATTTAGACTTTTTGGTTCCTCCCTCCTCTCCCTAACTCTCTGTGCACTTCAGCACAGCTCCTCCGGCTTGGTGCTTTGCTGCTTCTAGTAGGAGTTTGAGCAGAAGGTGGGAGTCTATTTCTAACTGACGTAGCTTCTTTTTTCTTTGAAGTACATTTCTGTGGGATGGCTGATTACGAGGTGTTGATGGGTTTCCAACTGCAACACTGTTAATGTTGGGGGATTTAATTAATTCTCTATTCTGTTCCACATTATGGTTGAGTTTTCTTCTCTCGGGGTTGAGAGACACCAAGAGTTAAAAGAAAAATCATCTTGCTGCCACAAGCAGAACATACTGCAAAATCTATAATCAGATCCATGTGGGTTTTCAACGCAAGCTACAAATATAGAAGGAGGACTGCGTGTAATGTGCACGGCAGAGGGATTGGCATGCAGGGCTTCTGGGTTCTATTTCTAAATCTGCCTGCACTTGAAATGTTGCAGGTTAATTTGACGTATTTCACGTCAAAATGACTTATGTTTGCAACAATGAAAATCCTGTAAATCACCTAAGTGTTTGGTGTTCACCATCAAATGTTCTTTGGAAAAAACTTTACTAAAACAGGATGATTCGATCCACGGCCACACCCTTCTCCACCCTGCCTTGCAATGGGCTTCACATGGATTGACGCCTTTTCCCTACTCTGTTCCTCAGGGTCAAAGCAACTGGCGTGGATATGCAGCTCCAGCCTGTCCTCTGCAGCTCCAACTCAAGGGAAGCTCAAAAGTTTCTCTGCTGCTGAGCAGTCAGACCTTGCTGCTTCAGGAAGGTCCCCTGCTGATGGCCTGGAGCTGCTGCCTGCTGCTGAGAGGAACCTGTCCAAGCTCACCTCATTTAATGCACAGATATGTAAGCACCTATTCTCAGAAATGCAGAACATCTCCGAGGGGTGAAAGGAGCTCAGTCCAGCTGGGCCCTAGGAGACCAACTCACCAAGGCACACCCAGACTTCATCTGTGCCTGTGCTCTGAACAGAAGGTTGGACCAGATAACCCCTGTGGTCCCTCCAACTGCAGTGAGCTGGACAGTATCTGCTGCTGCTGCTCTGGATGCAGGTGCCTCACCCCTCTATCTCCAGCCTTCCAACCAAAGCGGCTGTTGGCATCCTCAAGCTCCAGCTCCACCACTGGTTCCCTCAAGCCCAGAGCACTACCCTGTGGCATCAGCTGGTGTCCAACTCTCCAAGCCCAAGAGCTCAATTAAACTACTTCAGGAAAAATCCTAGAAGTATCTGCTTATTTAAGCCTTTTAGCACTCCTTAAATGGATTTATCAACCAGTTTCTGACATCACCAGTGTGCCTTGCAACGGCCATTACTCTTCCAAAAACCTGCAACACACGGTAAAGGTGCCTGTGTGTTTAAAGGAGACTGGAAAAGACAAGGAAAGGTGATGAGAGGAAATGAGAGAAATGGAAATGGTTTTGTTTGAAGTTTTACTGTCTGCCAGAGAGCTCCTGTTGCCCAGCATGAACAAGGCGAGTCCACCAAGCCCAGCCAAGGAGCAGCGACCAGGATCCTGGCCTGGAAAACAGGCACGTTCATTTTGCAGCTTTTCCATGAGGATGTAGTGCCAGGAGAACAACTCACCGTGGAATAACAAAGTCTTGGCATAAACGCCATAAAACAGTTGCCGCGTTTCTCAGAACATGGCTCAAAAAAAACATGAGACAAGCTTCAGGCATGGACGTGCCTCGCTCCGTCAGCGAGCAACGTCAGGCAAGCCACAGTCTCCAACACCAGGGATCTGCAATGGCACATTCAGCCTCTGCTGTTGTGCAGAGCACGTCTGATTTCTCAGAGAAAAAACAACTTTAATCTGGAGAAGGAATCATGAAATTGCTCCTATACGGCACGTGTATCTGCTTCACAGCCTGGCAGCAAGGCAAATGCAGCTTGAGGGAGCCGTTCTTTGCACCTCCAGCTCTGATGGGAGTTATTAGAAGTGACTCAGACACTTTTGTGCTGGGTTTTGATATTAGTCTCATCCCAGGGGGAAATATTCCATCTGGAGTTGGCCATAGTGTGCTGTCAGCAATTCCTAAACTTCTGATGTAACCTGGCACTGCCCTTTGGATGATATCAGGCTGATATCACGGAGCCAGGCAGTCAGCTCTGCTCTGCGGAAGATTGGACACATAGCAACAAGTATCAAAAAACAGACAAGACGTGATGCGGATTTTTAGAGCAGATTGCTATTTTTAGGTGGAAACCAGCATTTCTCTTGAAATTTTTCTAAACTTGCTATTTACTTTTGGGAAAATAATAATAATAAAACAAGATGAAAGGGAGCCTTGCGATCCATTTAAACTTGTCCTGCCTGTGACAGGACAGAAGACTGCTGAATCTGGTGGCTGGCTTGGTTTTGCTCATTTTCTCATCCTACCCACCATCAGTTTTAATGGGATAAATGGATATTCCCTTGAGATGGCTCGCCAATTCGTGTGTGATTCGCAAATCACAAATGCTCATTCCCAACTATCCCAGTTACTCAGAAATCCGTCTCAGACAGAGAAAATCCCAGACGTCTGTTGAGTCCAGCTTTTGGTGTTGTTGTAGGCAGAGGTATGGGAAGAGGGACAACAGAGATGGAAAAGGCTACTGCTGAAGAGTCCTCAAGCAACAGGCAGGCTGGGCATGGCAGAGCTGCCCAGGGAAGAGGAAAGAGAAGAGCTGGACGCTGTCAGCAAGAAGAGCGTGGTGCTCAGCTTTCAGACTGGAGAGCACGGCTGAGCAGGAGAGGACGGTGTGACCTGTGAAGGTAGAGCTCTGGTGACGGGCCGAGTAGACACCAGTTCAGAAAACACCTATGGCTTTACATCACGCTTCGCCAGATTCATCCAGACAACCCAGGACTACCTTAACTCCAGGAGCTCACCTGCAGTACCTAATGCTGCCCACGAGGTTACATTGCAGGGAGATATTTTAGTGGCTTTGGATCAAACTCTGAAGGCATCTGGATCACCATCCTAATTACAAGAAAGCCCTCAGGACCCAAACATCAGAGAACATTTTGGATGAGCTGACTCTGGCCCCATCACCACTGTGAACTGTGAGCTCACCGGTACCAGAGCTGCTGCCCTATTACCAATACTCCATCATTTAATTTGACTAATTCCATATTCAATTTCCTTTTTCTCTCGTGACACCCTAGGGGCACTTTTAAATTGCTTATTTGTGTACGTTGCCCTTATTTCTGCTAATAATGCCCTTGCTACTCCCTTCTGTCCCTGTGGGTGCAGAAGCCGACTCCTTCCCTGATGCCCTGGAGTGGCCCGGAGCAGCCCAGCCACGCGCCCGGCTCCCGCTGGGACAGCTCATCCCTCCATCCTCCGCCTTCTAAAGCTCAAGGGCAATACTTTCCGACAGACTCCAGTCATCACAAGGCCCTAATAAGGCTCCATTTTCAAATGTACAGCGTACAAACCAGCTCAGAAGATAACCCTGCCTTTTTTTCTCCCCCTTCTAACCAGAAACAACCTGACCAAACACCAAGCCACCCGCCAGCCACTGTCTGTACCCTTGGATTGTGTCACTTCTAAACAAAGCTGACAGAATCAAAATCAGCGCTCCGTTACCCAGACAGGAACATTACCTTGGTGCATTAACTTGACAGGAACATTACCAGCGATGCAAGTAGATTAGTGAGTCGAGTACAAAAGACAGTGGACAATATTTGAGGTCACTGGAGCTAAAAGCTAACAACTCCAAATTTGAATTCCTCAAAAACCAGAGAAGACCGTGAGATTCACGCCTGTGAAGAGGCAGGGGTGAATGGTGGCTTTTGTTTTGGTAGAAGTTAGGAAAGCAGGGCTTCTGTATTCTACCCATCAATACAAAAATGTAGTATTGCACAAAAGGACGTTCGTTTAATTACCAGGTGCTAAATAACGGGAGGTTTTCAGAAAATCAATGGATAATTTAACAGTCGTGGTGCTGCATGTAATGGGGAAAGGGAGAGAGAATCAGGGAGATGCTTTTGGTAGGTATTCCACATATCAAGAGGCAAAGAGCGGCGCTTTGTGTCCACCCCATTCCCACGAGACGTGTCAGGGGTATCAGCGGCCTCGCCGTCAGAGACGCTGCGTGCCTGCGCCCTCGTGAAATGTGCCAGGGGCTGCAGAAGCTCGGGATTTTCAAAGGCCAAACTTCTTTGTTTGACTTAAGCTGAGCACAACCTCCACCCCGGCACCTGTGAACCACCCAAAATCAAATCAGAGGAACTAATTCTTCTGCCATCATCAAAACCATGCGAGGGGTCAGGGATGCACCAGGCGACAAGGAGCCCACAGACAGAAAGAAGCAAGAGGAAGCCACAGTGTCTGCAGAAATCACCTGTCTCTCCCCAGAGGCTGTCAAAGCTGTTGATCTGTGCTCGCTCCACCTCCTCTTCGTCTTTTTCTGGAAGATCGAGCAGGTAGGAGACAATCTAAAACAAAATGACATGTCAGCTCACGAACCTGGATGCGTTACACAGAAACTGCTGACATCTTAACACGAGCTGCTCTGAATATGCAGAGGGAAAGAAACAGTCTCTGCCTGGCACGCCGAGCTCGAGTAAATATTCTTCCAGAGATCAATCACTGAACCCGCTGCCCTGTACAAGCCAAAAAACCACCCATTGCCTTGATACCACGGCACATGGTGAGCTTTTGTAGCGTCAGGTCCTTACAACCGTGTCTGTCCGGCTGCCGACGACCCGGTGTGCCGCGCCCGAACCCGGCGGGGGACCCCCGCTGCGACCACCGGTATCGGCTCTCAGCTGGCAGGGTGCAAGGGGCACGATCGTCCCCTTTGACTGCTGGGGAAACTGAGGCATGGAGATGCGACCTAACGGTGCAGTTACAGTTGTTAGCCTCTCCACCAGCTTCAGCTCCAGCCAGGATGAAGCTTCTTCCAGCCACTGTCAGCTCCTTTCTAGCAAACACTGTTTTTAAGCAGACTGTTACAGAGATTTCCACTGTTTTTCTTCCAGCTGTGGATGCTTGAAACCCCAGAGAAGCAAACAAACTTGTTTAAAGGGTAAATTAAAGGATTTAATTGACTGAAAACTGGCAGAAAATTTCAGCATTTGGATCATATAATGCAAGAAAGCAAGAGGCTAAGAAGAAAATGGAGATCTTACATTAGTGACTAAAGGACAAAAACCTTTTTCTAGGAGAAACAGTTATCTGCCGAGGTCTAGGCTACCACAGCATTTTCTGAGTACTGGGAGGAAGCTGTGTCCACTGGGCACAGACTGGGAGAGGCACCCGAGCAGGGATTTGGGTGACAAGCACTGTTTCTCCGTGTCCCGCCAGTGACGCTCGAGTGCTAAACGGGACACGGGGAATGCCAGCAGCATGGGGGGAGCAGGAAACCCAGGAGAGCGTCGACGTGCAAGGCGCTGCTGAAGCGATGCCCACGGTACTTCCACAGCAGATGCCTCGTGTGCGTGTTCCCGCCGGGATGGGAGGGCCCGGAGCTCAGCGTAACAACCCCCGTGTGCCTCCGGCTGTCTGCCCCGACGGGTGCCGTGCTGCTAATGGGCCTCGTGTTGCCTGACCGAGGGGTAAAGCTAAGTCTGGTATGGTTACACAAGGGTCTAACCACAGCAAGGACTCCAGCGTGGCTCCACCTGTGACTAAGGTCACTTTATAACATGCTAAACATTTGTTTTATCACCAGAGAAAAACAGCAAAGTAACCACCAGCTTGCACCTCCTATGACTGCAAGCACCTCAAACCAGGGGCTTGGAGCATCTTCTCTAAGCAGGCATTACCTTTTCTGGTACGACAGAAATATCAAACAATTCCAAAACTCCTTTCTGCACATTATAAAGGTGACCAGTATCATCTAGGGGGAAATTCCCGTTTCAAAAGTTCTGTGCTCTGTAACAAATTATGTCCTTGACAAGCAGATATTTAGGGTTTTGAAGGCACATCTGCTTCTAATTGGTTCAACTCACAGTCACTTAGCTAATAAGAATTTCCCAGCTTTCTTTAATTAGCTCCTCTGATCTGAGCACAGTACCTATGTTTTCAGGGATTATGCTTACCAAAAGCAAAATCAAAACTCCAGTAAATGAGAGGAGCTCAATTCAGCAAAGAAATCAACCAATGCAAAAATCCTCAACGACTGCTTCTCGGCCGGAGGACACACATCATTTTCCACATCGCAAATCCTCGTCGGCACGATACGAGCGACATCCTCAGCCCTCCTCTGCCGCCAACACACTGTCCAAACCTACGTGGTCTCACGCTCCCCTAACAGCGCGGGGGGAGAGGCGTAAGCACCACACCGTTTATCCACCCTTGCTTCAAGGTTTCTGCCAACAGCTTCAAGCCTTGTTACGCTTCCTCTCTTGGCCGCCCGCCCAGCCCACAGGGTTTGCCAAGGGATCTGTGAACCCCGCTGCTTGGGCTGGGAAGGGGAGGAAGAGCAGAGGTGCAGACCAAGCCCCTCTTAGCTCCAGGTTTTGGCCAGGAAGCGTCGTCAGCCCATGGTTTCCCCCCCCTGCAGAGGCAGCGATGCGGGGCTGGGTCTCACCTCGGTGTAGCCCATGCTGGCCGCGGCGATCAGTGCCTGCTGGATGGCGTGGCTCTTCTTGAAGACTCCCTGCTGCTGCCCAGCCATGCTCCAGTCGCACTGGATCAGGAACTTCACCACCTCCAAGTGTCCCCTGAGAGCGGCGTGAACCAGAGCGCACTGACCATTTTTGTCCAAATGATCCACCTTGGAAAGAGAAGACAAAATACAATCAAGCCAAATCACGGGCAAAACGTCTTCATTTCTTCGGAGTTTCCAGCCCCGGTTTCAGAATAATGCCACATGTGCAAAAAGTGCATTTTTCTGGTAAACTATCCCTTCCACGACCAGGAAACAAGCATTCCCAAAGCAACTCTGCCCCAAGCTTGGCCACAAGTGTTTGCTTTGGGTAAGTTACCATTCTTCTTAGCTTTCTTCACTTTTCTTCAGACTCAAAGGCTGCAAAAGCCTTTTTCCCTTTGTGTCCTGAAGTCCAGCAATCTCAGACTGAAATCACACACACTAATGTCATCCCCTTTATCCAAATCCACCAGAGAAAAACCAGCTTGTTTTCCAGGCACCATTTCTCTGGAGAGAGACAGAAGTGCCTCCGCCTGCAGCCGAACGCGCGAAGGCGAACCCGACGCAGGCAGCAGGACACAGGACACAGAGATCGTGATGGCAGCCTCCCAGGAACTGCTCTGGTCGGCTTTTCAGGACAGGGCACGGCGTTCACTCGATGCCTGGATACATCAGCTGGGAGTTCTGGGTCCTGTCCCAACACCAGTCACTGGGAGAAAACGGGACAGGCAGAGCAGCTACCGCCCTCCCGCCGGTTAACCCCGCGCTGCTCTGCAACGTATTGTTTCTCATTTCTCATATTATGAGAAATAATTAGTAAATTGATATATTCTACTAATATTAATTATAGTTATATAATACCTATGAGAAATATTTCTCCTATTCTAAACCTTTAACATTAATAACATATTAGTATTTCTCATTTCTCAACTTCCACAGCAATCAGTGTCGTGGCTTTCTGTGCCAGAATCAAGCGTCTCAGCCTTCAAACTAAACCCAGCTGGTTTCGGGGTGTTTTTTGTATTTTTTGGGTTTTTGGGGTTTCCTCAAGGCAGTTAGGGATACTCCAGGCAAGCTATGAGTGGCAAGACTTTGGCATTGCATTTTGTAGCCCCAATATTCCTGTCCTCAGGGAGGGAACGCTGTTTCTCACCAGCACGTCCGGGAGCTGCCCACCTCTCTCAAACTACCTCAACCAAACCAGAATTCTTTTTTTCCTTCCTATTGTCCTCGCATCGTTACAGACAACACAGCAAGATCGAAATGGGTCCTTCAGTCATCCCGACTTTCATACCAGAACTACACAACCCCATATTTTGCTTTTTGAACTGAAGCTAAACATATAGAGAAACCACAAATTGTTTCCAGGAGGCTCAACTTCAAAAACCCACAACGTTTTCTTCTTTAACAAAATATTTGAACTTGACTCATTATATACAATTAAAGCTCCGAACGCTCACCACAAAGCTAAACAAAGGGCACTTTTCAGGACAAGTCAGAGGGAAGTTTTTGGAAAATGTGTCTCCAGGAGATATTTAAAGAACGTCGCGTGCTGCAGAAGCACCGCTGCCACGTTAACCTCGCGAGGTTCAAGGACTTCTCCGGAGCACCCCTGGGCAGGCTCTCAGCGCAGCGTGGCAACACAGTTCCTACCTCAGACCTGGATTCCCGACTGCTCTCTACAGACTCTCAGGGGTTCTTTAGCTTTGGTGTCAATGCAAGGGTTTCAAAGCTACCACGTTTTAGCAGAAAGCCAGCCCTCCGCAGCAGCATCCTGGCCTCATCTGTGGCAGATACTCTTTAGCGAGCGTTACGTACCCTGCCTGCAGCTTGTGCTCTGCCTTGCACAAACGTGGAACAGCCTAAAGCAGCTTTTAGAGGAACGCGGTCACTTTACCTTGGCCCGTTTCTTGCACAGCAGCACGACGATACTCAGAAACCCAGCAGCAGCCGCGTAGCCAAGGGGGGTGAGGCCACTTTCCGAAGCGGCATCTACGTTGGCCCCAAACTCCAAGAGCAAAGCCACCATCTCGGTGTAACCCAGGTGAGATTGGACACACAAAATGGGAGCGTTGTTCAGAACTTCCGTCCGATAATTCACGTTCGCACCTCCTAAAATCAGCAGCCGACTGACCGTTTATTGCCAGGGCAACAACAGAATTTAAAGCAAGGCCGTCTACACATTTCCAAGCAAACAGTGAAGGGCGTAAGACGCTGAGTAAAAACACTTGCCAAGCATACGGTTCCATTTTAGGTAGCAGGAACAGTTTAATCTTTCCCCTGACTGGCTGGTAAGTGGTTGGAAGGGTACAGCCGCACTCTGCTTCAGAACAAAGTCACTACAGCCACGTTGCAGCAGCTGGGGACTCCACATCTCTCCCACGATTATGGGAAATGCAAACACACAGCTGGAGAGAATAACTTTATTGACTGTCCTTCCCGTGGGATCCTCTCCAGGGCTGGCTTTGGTTATCCTACCGCACGGCCCGGTTTGCACGGTTCCCTCTGCGCTTGGCAGCGGTGGAAATTTAGGCTGGATATAAGGAAGAAATTCTTTACAATGAGGGTGGTGAAACACTGGAATGGGTTGCCCAGAGAGGTAGTGGAGGCTCCATCCCTGGAAACATTCAAGACCAGGTTGGACAGGGCTCTGAGCAACCTGATCTCGTTAGCGGTGTCCCTGCTCAGTGCAGGGGGGGTTGGACTAGATGACCTCTGGGGGTCCCTTCCAACCCAAAACTTTCTATGATTCTATGATGCTGAGGAGAGCGGCAAGGAAGGGACACGAGGACAGGCACCGGGCTCATCTCGCCTGTACAGGAAGGAGCTGGGGCAAGCACAGACAAAGGACAACCCGAAATCTGTATCAGTGCTTGAAATCCTTTCTGCTGTAGCTACGAAGTCACCTAAGCTACCGCATTCATCCTTAGCAATGCAAACGGGCACCAGCCGTCTGAACTGGCACGTGCTGCCATGTTTGGCGTCACCTCCGAGTGCGTGCCCGCCTGAGCCAGAGCCCTTTAGAGGGCTGCAAATTCCAGCACCAGTTGTCACATCCCACGTCTTTGGGGGGGCAAAAAACGCAAGCGAACCATTGTGCACAGGCGCAAACTCGCTATTCACTCACTGCAATGAAAATGAGATCCCTGGTGGAAACAGAAGGGTTGAGGGATCATCCCATGGGGTACCAAAATCCTAACGGAACGGGACGGCCTCTCCCTAGTGCAATGCATGCCCAGCAAGCTGCTCAGGGCTGCCCGGGGAGGACCACGGCCACGGGCAGGCACTGCAGCCCGCACTCTGCGTGTGGCTCCTGCGCATCGCCGGGAGCTTCTCGTGCGAGCGCCCAACCTCCCCAGCTCCCCTCCCTCTCCAATACCTTTATGTTTGGGGTGTAGAGATTTCTCAGAGATGCCAAAGCCATTGAAAGACCTTCAGTGCTGTAGGAGATCCAAAGCCCTTGCAGGATGGAGGAAGATACCCCAACTTTTTTACTCAGCCCCTGAAAAAGAAAAGATGACTTAGATGCAAGCTTACAAATACACTCAATTACACTGGGCAGATCCTCCTTGGTCTTTGGACTTCAAAGAGCTTCAAGACACTAACAACTATACACAAGACAGCTTGTCACCTCCGACCTTTGCAGGGAATTAGTAAGCTTGGAGGAAATAACTTAAAAAGGTACTGCAGCCATTCCCAAGGTCTAAGAAAGGCAGATTAAACTGTGAGCAACCTGAATCCATTCAACACCCTCAGAAAATGTCATGCTAAGGAGCACAGCACGCTTCTTCCTTTTCTTTTTTAATAAAGTACACATTATTTTGGCAGAACTGATTCACAAAGTTTCCGTATTATTCACGCAGTTAAGCTAGATGACAGTATCCGACTGCGGTGAGATAAGCTAAGAAAGTCTCAACCACAGCCTAGAGCGGCATTCCCGTATCTCACACCGAACTGTCTCCAGCCCCTACGGCTGGCATCCGTGATCAGGCTACACGTAACGTACAGAACATCTGGCATCTTCCTCCAACATGAGCTGGCAGAGCACGGAGCTGTTGAGCCGGTTTCCCCCCGTCCTATCGAAGGGGCAATCATTGCTCTGCAGCCAACAGATGGGAGCGAACAGCTGGATCCAAGCGGAGAGGAACGGGTTTGCAACTCCAGCAACGAGCTTCGCCGCGTGCTGGGCTCCGCTGTGGGATGCAGGCACGCCCCGCCTGCCGCTGCTTTGCTATCGATGCACCATTAAAGCCTGCTGTTTCCACGGAAACCGGACAGACATCTTTAAATCTGTTTTGATATGCAAACCCCGATTTCTCTTCCCATGCACGCCGTGCGGTCATTTCTATCCGTGCAAAGCAGCGGGATCACGTTGCAGTTTGTAAGGCTTTCGTACGGCAGTCTGACTCATCTAGAGTACTGTGTCCAGTTCTGGGCTCCCCAGTTCAAGAAAGATGAGGAGCTACTGGAGAGAGTCCAGCGGAGGGCTACCAGGATGATGAGGGGACTGGAACATCTCCCCTACGAGGAGAGGCTGAGGGAGCTGGGCTTGTTCAGCCTGAGAAGCAGAGGAAGTTCCAGCTGAAGATGAGGAAGAACTTCTTCCCTCTGAGGGTGACGGAGCCCTGGCCCAGGCTGCCCAGGGAGGCTGTGGAGTCTCCTTCTCTGGAGATATTCCAGCCCCGCCTGGCCGCGGTGCTGTGCAGCCTGCTCTGGGTGACCCTGCTTGGGCAGGGGGTTGGGCTGGGTGACCCACAGAGGTCCCTTCCAACCTGTCCTATTCTGTGATTCTGTGATTCTGTGACACGGACAGTGTGGGGCGGTGGGAAGCAAACCAGCAGCAAAAGGTGGGATTTATTTCCTCTAAAAGAAGACATCTACAGTGCAGGAATCATCATCTGAGTCCGCCGCTGGACTCAGCTGCAGACCTCCAATACCTACGTGCGAAAGATATTCTGAAGCATCGCACCAGCCATCAACAGATCTGTCACTTGAAACGGTTTTACCATAAAAAGAAGCAACAGATTCGACAAGCTCTTATAAATAACTAACTCCGTGTGCTTGTTTCCTTCAGAATTCAGGGAGCTAAACACAGAAAAATATCTGCTTGTGTTCAGAGGCAGAAAAAGAGCTCAGGAATTTTAGCCGACATTAAACGCTGCTTTTGAAATGACACAATACAGGGCATTAGAGGTCAATATTAAATTTGAGTGAACTCAGTGTGGTAGAATTGGACAAATGGAAAAAAATTTTATAATAGACAGTTAAGATAATTTTAAAATAGTTCTAATACTCTCAAAACCATAAATAAGCTGTTTGAGTCACCATCAGGACCGGGGGAAAGAGTATGTATTTTCAAAATAGCCATCTGAAGATAATCACAGACGCTATAAAAATCTTAACCACTGTATTAGAACATCTATACTTAGATACGAGTGCAAGGCATAAAAGATGACATTTATCCGTTAAAGAATAAATACATTCAACACCATTATCATCCAGTTGCTGAAACAAAACTGCACTACTACTCGTTTTACAGATCGCAGCTTCCTTTCCTACTTCGCTTTTCTGCCCAGAACTGTAACGCAGGTTGAATCCTTCAGCAAAAGCAAATCCCAGCCCGACACAACATCAAACTGAAATACCAGGAGTGGTTCCCGCTTCGCTGGGACCACCGGACGCAGCACCATGGCGTGGTCTGACCACGCACCTTTCATTTGAATGAGTCTGGCAACCCCAAGCAACCCCACTTTTCAAACCGGCTCGCCTTTTTTGTCCCTCACTCTTGTCTGCAGCTGTCAGCATCCTTAATTTCTAACTTCTCGCCTCCTCTGCTATTTGGCCACCGGCACCTTCAACACAAGATCTTCATGAGGCTGCTTTGCAAGGAGTATCAGACACCTTAACATGCCCGGAGCTGTCACAGTGAGTGTTTCTGCCTGTACTTGTCACTACATTCTCAATCTGGGGACGAGAGACACCCATTTCTGGATTACTGACATTTGAGCTAACTAATTTCACATGAAATTAAAGACTTCTCTTTGGTTGATTTGGAAAACATACGTCAGCCTGAAGCTTGGGTCTTCTTGTATCTTTACTGCACATTTCTCTTCTTGCCCTTTCATTCCATGCCAGGCTTTCCAAGCTGGGTTTCCATATGCTCCTGTTAAGACTGGTAATTGCTTTAAAAGACTAAAACATTTGTACTTTTTTTTCCCTCCTAACTGTTTGAGGATGTTTGGGTTTGAAAAAGCAAACCAGCAGATCTCAGCCATCAAGCAAAGGAGGGAGCATGAAAGCTTCTTTACACCGATCCTTCAGGCCACCGCCTTGTGACTGCGCGTCACTGGTTTTTTACACCTGGAAATTCCAAGTGTCCCATCCGTACCTTGCACAAGGTACCGGTGCGTTCGAACCAGTATGGACTGGGGAAGGACAAACATGTTTTCTGCACTGTTTAATCCAAGTCTGTCTCTATACCTAGCTCTCAGTACTCCCCGGCTGGACAACATGCTTCAGCCCTGTTCCAGTCCTTTCCTGGCTTCACGATGGCTAAATAAAATGGAATGACAACGGCTTCAGGCCTCCACAAATACCTTCAAAATTAGGATCTTTGTGTCTGTGGAAAGCTGCTGCCGTAACATGATACTTCTGGAAAAAACACACTGAACTGATGACCTGACATGCTCCCTACTTGGCAGAGAATCCACGCCATGCTGGTAACGGCTTCAGCAAGAGATCGGACAGAACGAAAAGCTTCAATGGGAAAAAAGTGCTGGTTTAGAACCAAATACAGTCAGTAACAACAGGAAAAGGAGTCTGTGTACGCACTCTCAGAGATGTTTTCTTAAAAGAACGCTCAAGATCTTAAACACGGTCTGCAACATCCCAGCTCAGTGCCTCCTTCAAAAACTGACGCAGCTCTTGTTTCACTCCGTAAACACTCACAAATCCTTAGTAAACACTTGTTAAGAAAAGGAATAAAAATAAACCTATTCAAGGAAAAGCAACAGACCAAGTTTTAAAGTGTTTCTAATCCAGCTAATCCAAACCCTTTCAAAACTTTATAGTACTTCTACATCACATACTGCTACGCTTATCAGTCACCAAGACATACTCTTCTTGCCGCAGCGTTGCAAACCCAGGGATTTTGCCGAGTGATCAGAAACAGAAGGCTGTACTGACATTTTTCATATGCTAATTGGCATTTTCTACTATTGTAAATATTGCTCAATTAAATCTGGAATCTACAGGCAACCTGTCCACTTGATGCAAGTTGTCATTTGTTTAGAGCCTGAAACCCTGTTATCTGTTTCTACCGGGGAAGTGTGAAACGAAGATTTGGAACCAGATTTAGATGTAAATGGCAGCTGAACAGTAAACTCACTGCTGAATTTGGCCTTGGGAATGTAACTCAAAATTTGAAAATTATACTCTGATCGGGTAACGCGCTGATCTGGGGCTCTTCCCTTTGGCTCCAGCCATCGCTGCCCCAAACAAGGGGACTTTGCTACCGCATTTGATGGTGAATTCAGCACGGGGAACTCAGTGAGGACTGACAGCAGACACAAACTATCTGTTTGCTCTAGAAATACAGCAGTGCTCAAGTTCTGAGGTCTATAAAATCACATACAGATCAGACAAAAAATATAGCCTGATTTTTACCGGTGTTAAGCACCCACAGATACTAATACTTCCAATAAATTCTGTATTTCCCGTGACCTTACAAATCCACTCTCCCATTTCCATCTTCTGATACATGGGCCAACAGGCACAAGAACGCTACTTAGTTTCTGGGTCACACTGATGCTCACAGCCAAGTCTGCCTTGCAGTTGCCCAGGTCTTAAATGTCTGCATGAAATGTAAAATGGACCGACCACCAGATTTTAACGACCATGAAATTTTCCCTTTACAACCTAAATTTCGTGTTGGATTCTTCAAAACCACTCCTTTTAACAGATTTATTTTTTCTAGATGTTGTTACAGAAACCGATCTTACACGGGAAGAAACCTCTTACGGCAGAAGAGTCACTTTAGGTAAGGAGGCTATCTGCTGAATTTACAGCCTGAAGGACGGTTTAACTTTGAGGATTTCTGATCTACCGTTGCCAATTTTCTCAAGCTCACTTCTCCACGTTTCAGCAGCCTGAAGCAATCACACCTCTTACAGCAACCCTACACCAAGCAGGGACCGAGCGCTGCCAGCGCTGGCAGGTTACACGCGGCGGGGATGAGGTTGGCGTAAGTCTTCACTTCAATTTTTGTTACCTTAAAAATATGTGCTTTGAGAATGTGATGTCCCAGTTCAATGGTTTGCTGTCGGTTTAGTTTTCCTTCTTGACGGGAAAACCAGAAGGCAAGTAACGTGTGGCCACTCCTAAAATAAGAAGAAAGAGTATGTTACTATGTTAGTATTTGCTTGTCACACCAACACATCAGCTTTGGACAACAATTTTTGCTCCTGCTAAGCCTTCAACCTCGTCCAGCTTTGGCAAACTGGGCCGGACTAATTCTCACTTGTAAACCACCAGCTAATCGCATCTTTTATTTCTGATGATCACTGATAGCTCAAACAACCCCAAACATTGGAGGACAGCAAAACTAAAACAATGTATTTTTTATGAGCAGACATAAACTTGAAAACACCAGAGGTACTTCATGAAAGCTGAAGTGCTACGTTCACATTTTGCAGAGAACCGTACTTTGCAAGCATGCCACCAAGGCTGAAGTCACTAGAAAATGACACTTCAAATATCCACACTTTGAAAAAACCCGTCCTTTAAATGACAACGACCTTCTCCACCCTGTGACACGTCCTGCAGGGTGAAGCAACTTCATTTCCACGTAAAACTCTTTCTAACGTCATCCTCCAGCTTTTCCAGCCATAAAGATGCTTCTGGTGAACGACCCACCAGGTTCACAGCCAAAGCGAATTCACTGAGCTACACACAGAGCCCGGCTTCAGGCAAAGGTAATAACAGAGACGCTCGCTCCCTTCGCTAACAGAGATTCGTACGGACATTTTTCAACACAGACTTCCAGCTTGTGACACCAGAAGCTCAGCACGGCCGAGCCTTCTCAAAGATGTGAGAAGCTGACTCTCTGCACTCACAAAAACCACACGCAGTGCAAAAATGTGAAGTATTGCAAAGCATTCCTGGATGCGATCGGCAAATACCTGCCCCTGCGGGCACGCGGGGATGCAACGGGAGGAGATGGAGGAGCCCACCGAGGCTCCACGCTTGGACCTCAGTGCTCTGGGGACTTGTGGCTTTCCTGATTTCGCCAAGAAATTCGTATTCTTCTTTAAGCCCCTGGGGAGCTCCCAAGGGAGTCCTTTTTAACCCACTTCATTTCTGGAACTAAATAAAAATGCGACTACATATAAAAGCAATCAAACGGTTTCCAGCCAAAGAAAACAAAATATGATCTCAACCGTGGCTTTAAAAGGGCTTTTAAGGACAGGGAACATTATTAGCTCATCACTATTTGGTAAAGCAGAAAAGTGCTTTGCGTGGCCAAACGTCAAGTAAATATTAGAGAAGCTTTCACAGCAGTGGGGATTTACTAGCGCTGTCTCCATCCAGGGAGAATGATCACCCCCACCTCAAAATAAACTCCGAATAAAAGTGAAAGACTTGCAACGCCACGCCCAGGTGTTTGGCAAGGTCTCCCCCAGGCCCTGCCGCTCAATCCCCTTCTGGACCAGTAACACACAGATTCGTTCGAGCGGAGCCCGACGATGCTCTGCCCGACCTGGTGGGACAGCAGGACGTGGACACGTGCCCACTGGAGGAGCCGGAGGGAAAACCGAACGCTGTGTTCTTGCAAGGCAGGACCTGATCCGCAGGTCTTGCTAGGTGAAAGAGCTCTGCATCCCATGTACACGTAATCAACCCTTTCACTGGTGAGTAATTCTATTGTGCCTCTCTGCAAAATGTAATTAAATTTATAGAGGCACCACCAACTCAAATGACGCACTGTTGTCTGCAATGGTGTTACTGATGGATGATGGTACCCTCCACTCTTACGGTGACTTGAGAATAAAAAGAAACTGAAGAAAAATTCTTTTTTTGCGTGCTTTGCTTGCCAAGCTCCTCTCCACGCCCTGGCCTGGCACGTGGCGAGGTGCCCGTGTCAGGATCGTGTAGCTCCCGTCGCTGGAGAAGGAGAAGCTTCTCCAGATGGTGACTCTGCCCATCACGATGTAGCTTTGACGCCCCAGGTGAGTGCTTAAAATCAGACGGGATGCCTTGTGCACAGGGCAGTGCCACTGATCTCCATGCGCCCGTGCTGTGAGGATTCTCCATACAGCACCAACAGCGGGGACGAAACGTAAAAAGCTTGGAAAACAGAGGGCCTTGGAAGTGGTCGTAGCACCTTAAGGTATCTGCAGCTTGTTGCCTTTCCTTCCTTTCGCTCTTCCCCTCTTTGTTTCCCATCTCTGGAATGGGAGGAGAACATCACAGAATCACAGAATGTTCAGGGTTGGAAGGGACCTCTGTGGATCCCCCAGCCCAACCCCCTGCCAAAGCAGGGTCACCCAGAGCAGGCTGCACAGGACCATGTCCAGGCGGGTCTTGAATATCTCCAGAGAAGGAGACAGTATCAGGCCACAGCTTTTTCAAGGAGACAGACAAACGCATTTGCTGATCACGCTGATTAACCTCCAGGAATGCTGGTGGAACGGAGAGACACTCCAGAAGGCAACAAGTGACTCTGCAACACAGCCCAAGCGCTGCTCCGCGCAGCTGCTCCGTGCAGCAATTGCTAGATTTTATCCATCCCCGCTCAGACAGATGACGAAACCCCGCCATCACTCTAACACACTCAGAGCATCTCCACAGCTCCTCGGCGTCACAACGCCGTGCTCGCGGGCTGGAGAACAGCCAGAGCATTCACCTCCACCAACAGGTCGGCGGCACAAGTCCATTCGGAGCCAGCAGCCCATCTCCCGTCCGGGCAGAGTCACCGGGCTGGCGACGAGGAACCGTGGCTTTCTGCTCCAGACTCGAGAGCGTCTGCATGGAGGAACCCCGCAGCCGCCCCTCTCTACCTCTGCTTTTCACGTCACAGAGGAGGAAATAATACCAGCTGCTTGCTTGCTGATGGCAACCTCTTCGAAAATGTCTGGGAAGGCTCTGAACGGAGCTGTAACTGTGTTAATCCTAAATGTGAACTGAAGATCCAGAAACTTCTACTGTGCCTTCTCTTTGCAGCAAGCGATGAAGCGCAGCTCCCGACTGCCACACGCACCCAGGTTCCACCGCCAGCTCCTAAACTGCTTTTCAGCTGCGGCTGGTCGGGTATTTACCCGAATTTAATTGCACACATGACTTTGGCTGTTACGAATAAGGCACGTACGGACTATTCCAGAAGAAGCACAGTATTCATGAGTAATGCATTACCTCTGCAATGCTTCCCAGACCTGGGCTTTGGGCTTGTTGATGAATACTTGCAGTCACTTGTTCTGTCAACGTTAATTGCATGCTAACCCAGACTCCAACAGCACAGGCTTTTTTTCTTTTTTTTTTT